TATTAAGCAGCAGTAAGCCGGCACGTCGCCGATCTTCAAACCGGTCGTGGTAGTCTCGTCGTTGTCGCTGAAGAAGAAGAAGAAGAAGAAGTAGAAGAAGAAGAAGAAGAAGAAGAAGAAGAAGAAGAAAATCGGGAGAGAAGTGAACCGGAGGAACACACCGCATCACCTGCCTCTACTTCTCTTATTCAACAGAGAGAACCTTCCTTCTTGCATCCTTTTCTTCCCCTTTTCTTCCCCTTTTTTTCTGCTCAACCTCAACCCCTCGTTCTCTCTTCCCCACTACGTTTATCTTTTTTCTTCCCTAACAAGATCCTACGCAGGACTGGACGACTCTTTTCCTTTCTTTCTTATGAGCTCAAATCTTGGCTCTCGTCGAGGGGGAGGCAGATTGCTTAACGACGCCAACCACCTGCCTCCTCGAAAAGATGAACACGTGCTGCTTACTACGAGGCAGCTGCCATCCACGATACTCACTGCCGATATGTACACAAGTCTGCATCGGCTAACACCCAAAGCCGAGGTGTTGAGTGAGAGAGAAAGACAACCCAAATTTGCAACTCGACCCTTTTCTTCCTTACTTATCGTACCTTCTACAAGTGCAATTACGTTTCACCTTCTTTTGTATTCTTGTTTCAATTGTTACACTCGATTTTGGGTCAATCAATTTGAAGTATTTCTATGAATTTTAATAAAAATTTGATTATTTTAGGTGTTGAAATTGTAGATTAGGATGATAGGACTTAGATAAATTAGATTCTAACACACGAAAGAGAATTTTAAGTCGTAATAAATTTCGAGACCCGTGATGGTAGTCTATCCCATTAACGAAAGGAAGCAACAGATGGCAAATAGGACGCGTGGCTGATACGTTGATAGGATTCTTACTTTTCGAATCCAATTTTGTGAAGAAGAAAAAAATATGATCAGACTGTCTACAATTTGTGGCTTGCCGTAGATAATTAATTCCTACAAGATGCTGGTAGATACTTTGTAAAATTATTAGATAGATAGTAGTCCTATTAAGAAACTGACCTTGATACTGATAAAAACAGAAGCCCTACTACGAGTGGTTACAGAAAGAGAGTAGGGGTAGGCAAAGGAAAAGACGAGTTAAATGATGCAGCTGCCCTTTTGCCACGTGCAACACGCACCTACCTGAATGATTTTTCTCTTTTCAATGTCCCTACCAATTCTTCACGGTTTTTATTTTCATATTCCAAAAGTACAGGTACAGAACTTGATCGTACAAGAGATTAGAGTTTTCCAAAGAAAAGATTTATACTTTACGTTTTATAACTTCGGCTTTTTTCTTCCTTCTATCTCAACTACGTGTTTTTACCCAAAGAAATATTTTAATATTTATGTAGGTGCATTAGAGATAAAAGAAAACAACATCTTGTTGGTAAGATCATTAAAAAGCTTTGACTGTTCGGAATGATGAATGAGTCTGTCAAAGATATTCAAGAGTATAATTTAAGAATTGGAATAAACAGGGAAAGGCTTATAGTTGATGATAAGATCTCATGACTAACGAGATCTAACGGATATAGTAATATTATCGGACAAAGGCTTCATTCGTTCTCATCGGGACTCAGGATGCCGTGAACGTTTGTACGGATGCGGATACGACGAAGCCCGCATACTAATAACCAAACGGAAGTTCTTAACCGTTCGTCTATTTTGCCAGGGGCATGTCTTAACCAATCTTATATCGCGATGCTTGACGTTATTATATTAACGATTGAATAATGCTCGGATACATTACGCGACTAAATGATTCTTAGAAATTATCTTGACTCTGAGATGATAGCTCGTATCTTAATTATAATTTAAAAATTTATATGATCTCCTTTATTTTGTAATGGAGCTTATCAATTTTATTTAATAAGTTTTTAAAGTCATCATATTATGAAATATAATTTTAAAATGTTACAGAACAAGAAGCATATACTTAAAAATGATAAAATTCACAACACTCGACTGTAGCGCACCACACATTTTACGCGAGAACTCTGTTGGAAAACGGAAGAAATTGTTGGAATCTGTAATACCGACGATCGTTAAAAACCAATGCAAAGTGTAGGTAATATACCATGTGCAGAGAACACTGCATAGTAGGTCACTACAAGATCGATATTTTCTGATATCCAAGAACATCTGTACAAATTGTTACTGTAACATAATTAATAGGTTCACTATATTACTAATGATATTAATAATTAATCTTCCGATGCTGAAAAAAGCTTAGTATTAGCTTAAATTTTATCTCTAAAACAATGAATCATATCGTGACATTGAACTAACATTAATTAGACATGCAACAATGATTTATATTTCCAAAATTCTGACACATTTTTTTTATCTTTTTACGTGGAATAAAAATCCGTTTGATTGGAAATGAAAAAAAGAAAAACAATTTTTATTGAAACAACTTGGAAGTATCAAAAGCAACGAGATCGTTTGTCAATTCCAATTTCCGTATCATTTTTCAATCCGGTTTTTTAATTATCGCGGTTTTCAACGGGAATCCCATCTTTACATGGGCGCATGCACCTGCATCGGATTTAGTGGTTTGAGGAAAATCAAGCGGTGAATTGGAAGGAGCGCACCATAGTCCTGTGAATGTCCCGGAACCCACCCAGAGGTCACCGACCAGAGTGCAACGTTATCCGTTGCCATGTTATCGATCTGTGCACGACCGCCTTGACCGACCTCCGATGCAACGCCAAGTGCAAGTGCAAAAGCTCTTTCGTTACTTTGCCCCTCTTTTCTTCCCTAGCCCTTCCTATCTCACTCTCGGTTACGGTGAACCCCTCCTAACAGAATGAAATACCAAAACCCAATAACAGATGTAAACACAAGTTAAACCTTTCATTATCAAAAAGATATAATTCTCAATTGACTTTCTCTTTAGAACTTATGATGAGTAAAAAAAAAAAGAAAGGAAACACATGGTTTAGTGGTTTAGTTTTTGTTAGAGAAGTATAAAGGGAAGAGAATGAAATGGAAGAGGATAGGATTAACCGTATCAGAGAAGAAAGCTATCCATCAAGGTATTATCGATCTTGCGCAGTCTGCCAGGCACCCGTCGGGAATGCGAAGTGCAAGTGCAAGTGCAACTACAAGTGCAAAAGCTCTTTCGGGCATCGACCGGTACTCGAACCGTGCTCGTACATCCTTCGTTCCGTAACAGCTACTCTCATTCTCTCTCTTTCTCTCTCTTTTTGTTTCTTTTTTTTTGTTCACTCTCTCTCTCGGTCGCTCGAGTATCTACTCGTCGTACTTCGAACCTTGCTAAAGATTCAAGGTTACTCGCAGTACGTTGCCACACGACTACTACTAGCATTCCCTCTTCGCGGATTTTTCTACCTTCTCGTACTTGATCCAAGTAAGGACTGATTCGAATACTTGATTCAACTAGTTTCCACCGTTTAATCCCGATTTAAATCAACCCTACGAAGAAATTTATGTTCACATTTACAGTATATACCACGTATAGTTTCGGTACTTCAATCTAAGAAGTTAAATTTAACTCAATGTACATAATATTATAATATTTTACTATGAATTTTCCAATTTAGTTAAAACCACTGATATATCCCAGTAATATCCTGGTAATTTTCTTGAAATCATACAATTAGATAATTTCTTCAAATAACTAGGAAAAGAATTGCAACTTTCTGACGTACGAGTGTGCAAACTCAACAGTTTCCTGATTACCTTCGATTTTGTCGAATTAACGACTAGGAGAATCCTACCGTGAGAAGTTCGTGTCTGACAGGAATGAAGTTAGAAACTAACACCAGTTAAAATGCTACAATACTATACCTCTCAGTTCCTCATTTTCTCTTTCTCTTTCTCAGTTAAACTTATCGAGATGGACAAAGTTCGAGTCACGATTACCGTTTAACACCGTAACAATTGTCGAAGTCATTTATCTCGTCGAGCATTTAACGCGGTTAAGTCTAATCAAAGTTTCTTGGTAAAGTCATCGAAAAATCTTCAATTCTTTTAAATTACATTTAAATAAAAAGATTAATGACATGCGTTAACCGAAAAAAATTGTTAAAGTATAAAATTGAACTATTTTGTTCGTGAGTGAAATTAATAAGTTTTGAACTTATTTGTTATTCTAAAAATACTGTATCTGTTTTCTGTCAATCTCAGTTCTATTTTTCAACACGGTCTAAAAACTTGTAGAAAAGAATAAGCTCGATACTTTTCAATTTATCTTTAAATAGTTAATAATATTATTGAACTATGTTATTCATACACATATACATCAAGGTAAAACACGAGAATTTTATCGAAAATAGCTTTAAAGGTAGGGTATTTTCCGCTCGAAGTGAACAGTGTCGTAATATCACGGATATATGCGAGCAAGGAATAATAAAAGGAACGTCACATTTTTCAAGAATGTCATCGCGCTATGCCGTCGGTGCTATCTTGTATTCGTGTTTCGCTTGGGTAGCATAATACACACACACACACAAACATACAGAAACCCACATACGTCATACATATGTATTATATAGTACGTGTAGTATTTATGTGTTCTTACGTAGCATCGTTTCAATATACGAATGCGTGTATGTGGTCTTCTATAGAGTCGTATTATTTAGACCACGTGCCAATTGACACCAATTAAAGAGCGTCGAACGACTTCTACTCGAACTAACCAACCAACCAACCAACAACATTTTGTATCTTTRCAACAGACATTCTTATCAGGTTTTACAACGCATTTTTTTTTTTTAAATCAAACTTACAATTATAATTGCACTATTTTGTTTCGATTACTGTACGCTTCTTTTTAATTGACAAAATTATTTCCACTAACTATGTACTTATTAACGATTTGTTTTTTTTTTTTCTTTAAATTTATTATGAACGAGATAACTACCATTTATAACTAATCATATGGGATCAAATGAACACACTAAGGGTTCTTGTTTCTATAAATAACATCAAAAAGAAACTTTTAAATATGGACTTACCACAGTCAAACTATCCAATTCTCCAAGCCATTCGTTCAACAGCTGTTCGGGATCCGTTTCGTTGTCGCTGTCGTCAGCTTCTTCCTCGTAACGTTCCATGATTTAAACTCTTTTCAATTCAGCTTACTAGCCCGAATTATGATTTTCTTTTTATTTAGACTCGTTCGATTTCTGAAAACAACAAACACACCCATTCTTCTTATCTTATCGATTTTTAACAACGATATGAAAGTACGGTATTTAACATAGCTTTTTCATTTTAGATAACAAAATCTTCATAAAAATCATAATAAAAATAATTGGAACCACTTAAAAGTCAACAGATGTCTCAAATGAGTTGTTGTTAACGGATACAATTACAATTGTATTTTTTATATATTATTTGTAGATGTTTTATTATTACGAACTGTCAATTTTTATGAAAATTTATTAACCAAATTTTGTAATGACTAATTTTATATGATTAAATAATTTGAATATGTTCCTAGTGATAGAAATACTTAAAAATCAACAGATGTCTCACATTTGAGACTCAACTCTTTAGTTGTCGTTAACGAATACAATTACAACTGTATTTTTTATATATTATTTATAGATGTTTCATTTTTACTAACTGTCATTTTTTTATGAAAATTTATTAACCAAATTTTGTAATAGCTAATTGTACGATTTAATAGGTTGAATATGTTTCTAGTGATAGAAATTTATGGATGATTCCTATTTAATCTAGGTCAAGTGTTACCACGACTCACAAAATGGAGAAAACAAGACATGAAACTCCGCATGTCTCGACATCGAGTACGCATATATAACGGACCGAAAATAGCTTCAAAAAAGAAAGAACAAAAATACAACCAGAGAAAGTAAAAAAAGATAAGGAAAAGGTAGTACATAAAAAAGAAATAAACACAAATAAAAAAGAAAAAAGTAAAGTAAAGTGAATACACACGTAGAGAGATCTTAAAGTCTTTTTACAGTAATTACGGTAAATCCTCTCATCGATTTATTGAGAAACGATACATAGAAACATATATCCGCGCCCACATCTTCCACAAAAAGAAAGAAATATAAGAAACGAATGTGAGTCAGACTCGAGGACATTGATTTTTTTTCCAAAGAAATTTTTCTTTATGTTCTTACAAATGTTGTAACGTGTTGAGAACATATAAATTGTTTTCCAAGTTGTATAGAACGTGATTGTGTCATTTATATATATATATATATTAATATTAATTTACATACAAAAAAATTCCCATAGATATCGTAAAAAAAAAAAATAGTAAATGTCATATAGTCGGTGTCAGAGAATAAATTTAGAAAAATCGTTTATCTGGATGTAAATTCAAATTTAATGCAGATTTTATCGAATTTATACGTTGGTACATGAACCAGTTCATAAATTTTATGATATGTATTGCAATAAAGTTGATTCGATATTTAACCAGAAAAAAAAAATCTGGTTACCGCATCGATGTCATCAAAAAACCAAAGATAAATCGGTAACATGAAAACAAATTGAAATTCAATACGTGTCTCCTAAAACCTCAAAATCAATGTATACATCATAAAATATTTCATGATACACAAGAGTCTTCATAAAAGTTTCAAAAAAATCGCTAACATAAAAGCAAACTATAATAAGATAAAAGTTTCATAAAACCAATTTGATGATACAATCCACCCTAACAGAATCTTTCCAGCTAAACAGTGGTTCTTAAATAAGAAAAAACTTTTTGATTCAATTCGGAAATAAGAATTCCAAGATCAAAGTAGATCGTACTGGTGGGATAACGGAAAAAGGTTCAAGGTCTAGGTACGTAGTCTCTTACTCTCTTTTTTTCTCTCTCAAGGGAAGCTAACAGGTGCTGAGAACGTGTAGTACGTTTCTAACCCTTCGTCCGATTCCTCGAGATAACACGGTCATTCATATTCCAAGATTAACGTCCGGCCGACTTTTAAACTTAGACGGACCCTTTACAAACCTACACTCGAATAAACCCTAGGAACCGACTTTCATGAGCAACATCAAATATGCAAATTGATGGTTCCTTAGTTTCACTTTTTTTTTCTTTTTTATCACACGAGATTATAATCATCAATTTTACATAATTGCATAAAACATTAATGAAGATAAGAGACTATAATTAAAATTAAATGTAATTTCAACGTTAATGAACCTTAGGAAAGGGAAAGAAAAAGAAATTAAATAAAACAAAAAATAATACAAAGAAGTATAAAAATGTTATAAGAATGAATCTAACAAGAAGTAAATTATGTCTGTGTAATGATCATGACGTCATTCTAAGCTCAACTGTGAGAGAAACGTAAACATAGTAGGAATAAAAAAGAAACAGGTTCATGGCGCTTAGAAAAGAAGTCCAACCAACGCGTATTTCTTTATTTTTTTGTCGTTCTTACGCTCTCAGAAAAGGAACTAGCATCAGTGGTCGTAAAAAGTTTCTCTACACTTTTTGAACTTTGTCCGACCGGATGGTTCTTTTCTCTTTGTTTAGAACAACGGTCTTTCTTTCATCTGTCAAGGAGAATTCTCTTTGCTTTATATATATTTTTTTTTTCATTCTTATTGCGATATTTATCATTTTAATGTTTTTACGAAAAAAAAAATAGAAAAAAATAAACATTCTCTCTTTACTTTTGAGTTACTAGAATATAAAAAAATTAGAGAAATATTTGAAAGGAATAAAATATCGAAAGAAATAGTACGATAAACGTCGGTTAGAAACTCGAACAAAACGACGATTAAATGAAGAAGATTCGATTAATTGTTTGAACAATTTGATCGCGTGGGCGAATATAAGTGAATACGTCTAGTTAGCTCATTTATGACGATTGTACGAAATGAAGCAGCGTCGTTGCGTGCATTGTTAAACTTAACCGAGACTAACACGAATTTGCTCTTACGATTAATGAATTAGATCTTAAGTACTTGTTCTTCCATCTCCGAAATTACCTCTTCCTAACAAAACAAAAAAAAAACAGATAAAAAAAATATAACAAAATTCTTTTCTAAAACATACCTACCTAATAAAAAATAATAAAAATAAATTTCTAAACAATTCAAAATGAAAAGAATAAGAAACCAATTTACGTCCACTTATTTATACGGTAATCAATCAAACAAATAGTCTACAATAAAACATAACAATTATTTATTACTAAAAAAAAATGATAAATAAAATTAATAAAAACACTTATCAAATGATTTAATTAATCAAATGAACGAAAAGCAATTGTATCGTTATCAAATTATAATTATTATACAAATCTTAAACTGAACAAATTAATGGAGGATTCGTAGTACAGTTTAGTATTTAAAAGAAAAAATAAATAAATAAATAGATATTAACTCACAAAGTCAGTTGTATTGTTAAATTTCTTGGTAACAAATTTTTATCTTAGAAAACTGTCTGTATCATAAAATGAGTTAAACTTTAACATTCGCATTGTGCGTAACGATAGAAGTCACTAGAATCAAGTTATGTTATACCGAACAATACTACTTACTAGAATGATAGTTATCTCTGACCTCGACATAACCAACTTCGAATTACGTCAGGAACTATTAAAGCTTTAGCAGAAAAATGATCGAATCGTAGCACACATCGGTTCATGATTCTTCTCTCATTTTTCATTCACATCAATTAACCTAAAAAAACCAAAAGATAATAATCTAACTAATCCTTTACACTAATCCCATCCTTGAACTGAGTAGACTATAAATAACACATTTTTATTAAAAATATTTTTTATTAACGCAAAGAAGTATCCTTCGTTTTTATTTAGAAAAAAACCATACATAATCTAACCTGTGCAATCTTGACGACAACTTGATACAATGATAATTAATTAAAGTAAAAAATTAGGTTATGTAATTATATATTTATAATTAATTATAAAAAATGATCCTTGACGAGTTGATATTTAATGGATGATTATTGTTAATATCTCATACATATGAAATCCAAATAGATTATTATTCGAATGAATCACGAAAGAACAATCACAGTTGCTAAGTTGACGCATACATTGAAAATCCTTGTTAATACTAATATCGTATATATACGTACGATAGATCATCACTCCAATAATATTTTCAACATCACGTCTATTATTTTAAATTAGTTTCTAAATTAACATCAAAATTCAGGTGTGTTCTTTTTCTTATTGATACGAGCACGGGATACGAGTATCAGAAATCGATAAAACTTTCCAATTCGTTCATTTTCCTTTTGTTTTTTTTTTATCTCAGGTTTATTCTCTAATGTTTCATCCGATTAAATGAACAAGAGAAGCGTTCGATTTCACGTTTGAATACCGGCCCAACGTTAACCCGGTTTCCGGATGCGATTACAAAGGCTTATCGAGATCGAATGAACTCAATTGATGGATGCAAACACGAAATGTATCCTGTGTACTGTAAGAAGAAACACTATTTCAAAAGAAAACTAGAGGTATATCCGAAATAGCAACTTCTATTATCAAATATCAACCACACTGACCTGTATATCAATTTGAATACAAATTTTTAACTAAAGCCGTTTATATCCGTCATCTATAGTAAATATTAGTCACTAAATGATCTAGCGATAACGTTAATTGGATACTACGAATTTGATTAACGTACGCGACAAATGATGTCATATTCCTGGAAAACTTGTTAATTAACCAAGTTAATTGTATTTTAAGCTTTCTCAAAGCAAGTTGACTTTCCGAATAATAAAGATTACACGTCATTCGTAAAGATTTTTAGAAAAGCTTAGGTTGGACGCATAATCTAAGAAAAGCTTTGGCAACCACTGCTAGGGAAGAACGCATCACAAATAGAAAAAATCCGATTCAAATATCTATGCAGTAGGATGATCATTCATGCGATATGAATAATTCCCAAAAGATTATCTTTTGACGATCTACGTAAGTACTCTCTCACCACTACCACCACATCGTTATTTACTTCTACATACATACATTCCTTACTTCCATCTTTCGCCCCATCTTTCTTTTTCTTTTTCTTTTTTTTTTCTTTGTCACGATCATTTTGCCTACTCGTTTGAACAGCGTAGGCCGGACCAGTTCTTTGTTTTGTGGCGCCTCGGGACGGGCTGATCCTCCTTCACGGTGGATGATCTCGAGTGTGACGTATGTATGCGTGC